TCACGTGTAAACCCCACGGACATTATGCTCCGAGGGTACTAGTAAAGTAAAAGGTGTCCAGAAGGCCGAGTGAAGTGCTAGAAGAACAGAACGCTCACACTAACACAGGAAAAACTGTGTTTTAGGAAATGGTAATTACAAGAGAATACCGAGCAGATTACAGTGCCTGCAAGAAGGCACAGGGGCTAAGGGTGCACCCGGGCCTGCCTGCCATGCTGGCCCTGCCCCGGGGCACGCAGAGACTTGACGCACTTGAAATCCCAGCTCTCAGGAGGCTGTAAACAGGAGCACTACCAGTCTGATCTAGTAGTGAGACCTTGAACACTTTGTAGACCCTTCCCTAAAATGGGGTTGGGGAGGGACTGAAAGGATGAGTGCTGTACTTTGTGAAGGAATGTAAACTTCTGAGCAGCAGAGGGACACAAACTTTCCACTCATCAGAACTTTTTTCTTTTGTCTTTTTGAGACAGGGTTTCACTAAGCAGTTCAGGTTGGCCTCAAACTCCCAGTGATCCTCCTGTGTCAGCCTCACAAATGCTGGGATTACAGGCATACATCACCATACCCAGCTGAACTTTCTTGTAGAGCAGATGGCCACTGTAATGAAGGAAGCTAATTAAGAGAAAAGTCAGAGTGTAAGGCAGACTCCTAAATATGGGACAGCAATGAGGAATGAAAATCTGTTCCAATCAGATCTTATAATTCTCTATTGTAATCAGAAACTCGTTATCATTGGGTAATTTCCTCTAGAAGAGTCACAATACAGGATACAGGAGTATTAAGGCTTTCTCCCTCTTGTGTACTAGGCATGTTTTTAAAAGATGCAATCTTCTAAATTCTAGGCCTCAAAGAAATCCTGAGGTAAACTATATAACCTTGAATAGGTTGTTTCTCCAGATCTCAGAGGAACTCAAGTTTAGCGGAATATGCCTCACCTCTCCCGCATTGTTGTTTTTGAATGTAGTGATGGTCAGAGAATCCTAATCCTGGCTCTATGGCACTTATGAGCCAGGAGTTCAGTGAGTGTCCTGCAATACCCAGAATGCTAGCATCCCTTTGAATGAGAAACATAAGATTATATGAATCATAAATTTCCTTTCAAGCCAACTATTATGGGCTTAAAAAAAAAAAATCAGTCTTTTTAGTTAGTTAACAGTCCTTTTTACCTAAAACACAATGAAACATCTCTCTATTCTCAGTAGTTAACATAGATCACAACCAAATATTGACAGACTGGGAGAAAAACTTTTTTTAAGTAGAAGTTAAAAGCAGGGCCCTCATGCCAGTTAGGCAAGCACTCTACCACTGAGCTGTATCTACAAACCCTCTTCACATTCTGAGACAAGGTTTCTCAAAATCGCCTGAGCGGGCTTGGAAGTTGTGCTTGCTCTGTCTTGGGTTCCCAAGTACAGTAGCTAGGCTCATATGGGCGTGCCACGGCGTCCAGCAGCAGGAAGACTCTGTTATATGAAAACAGACCAGCAAAAGATACCAATTTTAATGCAGAGATACCAAGAGATTTGCATGTGGATTAAATTCAAATAACTAGATTTTCCCTAGCCAAGTCACCACTTAGGAAGCAACAGAGTTAGGTCCTAAAGTAACAGCTTTAATACTTAAATATTTAACTAGTCATTAGGTGTATTTTCCTTTCTTTTTTGGTACTGGTGATTGAATCCAGGGCCTCAAGCTTGCCAGGCAGGAGAACTCTATAACTGAGCTATGTCCTTAACCCTCATAAGGTACATTTTCATCAAAAGAAAAAAATGTAACAGCTATCAGAAATACTAGGTCTTTCAAAAGGTAAAAATTAATGAATGTCTTAAAAGTTAAACTGTTTAATAGGTATTAATATCTGATTTTTAATTGCCTTTGACATTTCCATACACAAGAATTAAAGGATATTCTTTCTTTAGCATACCAATATTGTCCATTACATCTTTTAAAACTCACAGGTATAATCCCCATCTACCCCAAATCTCTGTTTTCTTTACATAAAAACTTAAGCTGGCTTCAAATGCCAGGTGATCATCCTAGCTCTTCTTAGTGTTAGATTACAGAGGTGTGCCACCACACTCACCTCAGAGTTTAATTTTGAGGAAGAATTATAATTTCTCTTCGTTTTCATTAGAGCTTTCATTACAGTATAATTAAAGGTTTCATATAGAAAACAAGAACTTTATAATGTAAAATTAATATTTAAACTTGAGACTCTGGTACAAAATCTCCAAGAACAAAAATAAGTCTCTTTTAAATGTTCATATACAATAATCAAAAGATCCACATAACACTCAAGGAAACATACAATTGAATAAACAGTCTTAATATGATACCTTAAAAAAAATATAAAATGTTTTTAAAAAGCTCAACAACAAAAAATAAATAAGATTTTTTTAAAAAGCTCAACAAGTGCATTTACACTGCCATTTAATACCAGTCTTTATAAATTACAAATAAATTCTCCAAAACAATACATTGTTTTTAAATGCTAAAGACCAAGAAAACTGGATAAAAAAAGAACCCGCAACATATTAGTATTTAATTTCTTAATATTCCATAGATAATTTATTAACTGTGTGAGAAATATGAAAGGACTGGTACATTATTTTGATACCTAAAGAACCTGATAAAAACGCAAACATAAAAGGAGTCAGAGCTTGAAGGATACAGAAAAATTAACAGTTCTATGGAGATGTATACCTTCCATTCTAAGAGGCCAAAAGATACATGCTGACTTAGTAAAGAACTGTCAATACTTTAGTACAAAGCAAACACAAATCTATGAAAACAATAATCTTCATCCTTTATTTGTGTTTGCATGGCTCACAGGGTCAGAAATAGGGGAAAGTTTGTATTTCCTAGGCAGAGATAAATATAATTCACTATATAGAACTTCATATTTCAAGGAAAACTTCAAATCCAGCAGCTAACAGCTTGTCTCTATTTGCTGTCACTTTAGATCAGAGAAACCCACACATTTTTCTCTCCCCTTCCCTTCAGTTACACTTGAGCTCCCTGACTGAAAAGGTCTGGAACAGATTAAAAGTCGGGCCACAAATAAAAAGCTTTGGCGTGTTGTCAGGCTGGTCTGGAATACACATCCACAATGGGCCCAAAAAGGGAAACTACACGCAGTAAGAGAATTCCATGAACCTTTTCTTGGTATATTTTAACTGTATGCTTTGTGTGTACGTATGTGCTGGAGCTAGAGGAAGTGGGGGGGGGGGGCGCTTTATAGCTCACAACGAAAGACCAAGCTATGAGTATAAGCAACAGACCTATGTAAGATTACAGCTATGCTTTCTAACTCACTGTTTTAACTGAAGATATTTTCTAAAAAGCTTTGCTTTCATTCTTGATCCGTGTAGTTAATAGTTAATAACTGCCCTTCATAATCTTATGTGTATGGGTGGGTATCTTTAAAATTCCCAAAATGTGGATATGTAAACTTTATTTCATTAAATATAACTTAAGGAAACAGGAGTATTATCATTCTAGTCCACATAAATGGCAACATTTATTATACTTTCTAGTACTTTGTCTCTCATTTCAACCACAAAGGCTTATTCGATATTAAACAGAATCTAAAGTTGCAAATTATTAACATGACACATTACTTTTTTAACACCCAAACAAGTCTTGAAGCTCCAAAGGCTGGCAATTAAGCCAAACCGGGTATCTGTCAAAATGATGATCTCTGCCCTGACCCCACCTTTGACTTTATTTTGAACAATAGAAGGTTCAACAAGTTCATAAAAATGACCAGTCAGGAATTTTGAGGTAAATTTTAATACTGTTCAGGGTTCTTCTGTGTGTTTTGTTTTTTAAGGTATGCATAAGATAAGACACAGGAGAAAGCTGTTCATAGCATTCCTGACAGGGAAGTTCTTTTATCCAACTAGCTATGGACAGTTTTCTTTTTCTTTCCTCCCACGGCTGTGCTTCCATGGCACACAAAGAGTTAACTCCTTTCCCTAAGGGCCCCACAGTTGTTGTTAGGTCAGCCCCTGTGAAGCTTCAAAGGCTCCGCATCCCCTCAGTCTGACCCACTCAGTGATCTGCACATTGTTTCATTTAGTTGCATCTAGTCCAAGACTAGAGAGCTTCAAAACCACAATTATCTGCTTCTTTTTAAATTCATTTTTCCATGTCTTTGGAAAAATATCTCAGAAACTCGACTAAAGAAACTGAAATAGAAAAAAAAAAAAAAAAAAAAAGGATAGAAAAGCACTGAAATAACATACATGCTTATAAAAATGTACATATTTTGGAAAGGAGAGTTCTGTGCAAATGGTGATTTAGTTATGAAATTTAGAGGGGACTATGGCTTACTTTTTGTTTCCTAAATAAAAAGTAAAGGCAAAAGCCCTTACTTTATTTGTTTGTTTGCAGTACCAGGGATCAAACTCAGGACCTTGTGCTTGCCAGACAGGTGCTTATGCCATTGAGCTGTATCCCTGGCCCCAATGGCCCTTACTCTTAAAAAAAAAAAAAAAACCAACAGAGGAAAGGGAAAATGCTTTTGCTAGGCCGTTCCCAGGATGACCCCTCCCCCATTTAGGATAGGACATGCCAACTCCCAAGCACTCAGTGGTGCTCATAGTTCTCAGAAATTAAGTGCAAATAGATACCAGGTCACTGACAAAAGCTAATGTTCCTTTCATAGTTCATATGCTATGTGACAGCCTAATTATTATTAAGCTAAAAAGATCATTTTCAGCAAGGTTGCTGTGCTTCCCAAAACGTGAAAGGGACAGTGAATCTGGTTAGTCTACTACTATGACACCCCCCATCCCCCTGCGTGCGCACAGGCTAAAGAGCTGATTTAAACCTAAAGTTTCCAAGTTTAACGTGAAAAGATAAAAAACAGTACTGGGAAACACTGGACAGGCAGTTATATTTTAGTACTATGAGTTGATACAATTTTATTTAAATGTTACTCTCAAACACAAAAAACAGTACTTAAAAATGTCAATAAAGGTTTTGAGATGAACCTTTACCAAAACGAGGGTCAAGCCTTGGGTCTAGCCAAGAAGTGGTCTTGTTCTTATGGTTTATATAGTAAATTTCTCCATCCTGAGTCATGGCTTGTTCCCATCCATCAGGAAGAGGACCTACAAAAACAGAAAAAAAATCATGTTGGTTTTGATTTGGTTTACCTAAAAAACAGTAAGAGGGGGTACTAATTTCAAAAGAAAATACATCTTGACACAAAACAATTTATTAATAAACAGATTTAAGTCTGTGTTCAAAGAGGGTAAATTCATATACCTGACTCTTCTCCCCTAAAAAGACACCACCAAATAATAAAAATAAGCATACCTAAAGATGCAAATGGCAGGGAAAAGTCATATTTAAAAAAACCCAAAACTTTTGCAAGTAATAACTCAAATAATTACTGTAGTTAATGTAAGACAAGGAAGTACTGCTGCTCAGGGACTTACCCCAATCCACTTTTGTGACCATACCTCACGGGGGGCTTCAAGGTTCTTTAGAAAGAAATGTGACCAAGTGTTTCAGAACAACCAAAGTATCATCAATATTTTAATGTGATTGGATTACACTTACACACACACAACTATAATACAGAAAATGACAGTTTAAAAACAAGCTTATTGGGTTGGCAAGACAGCTCAACAGGGCTGGGGATATAGAGCTCAGTGGCATAAGCACCTACCTGGCAAGTA